ACAAAAAGGGTTTAGCTTTTTAAAAATATAATCGATATTATATAAAAACCGGTATATATAACAGGTATATATATAATAGGTAAATAAAACCTATTTAAAATAAGCTACGTTAAATTAAAACAAATTATAATGAAAGTCTTAGAGAAAACAAAGAACAATAAATGTAAAGAAACTGCCGCGTTTTTTCTGGCCCCATCAATCAAAATGGCTGCCAGCATTAGGACGCCTGCTGGCGAAAATTAAATTCTTACCGGATATTTATCGGACTGTCAGTACGTACATGTTCAGCTAGGAATTCAATTATACGAATTTGATGAAAATTGAAATGTTTTTCATTTGGAAGAACAACAGTGGAGTATCATTGTCATCATTCAACTGTCCAATTCCTGACTGATACTTTGGAGTCCTCTTTCATTGTTTGCCTTTAAAGACAGATCTGCATTTCTGTAAATTTTTAAGGTATAGATTTTTGGTTTAAATCAGTTTATTGGTCAAAACATCGAGTCAATTATATTAAATTGAAATGTTGGTATGAATTTGGGTCAATTAAATAAATAATTTCTTGATTTCAATCAACAGTTAGAATCATCGATTTTTTAATCATTAATTATTTCTTAAATATATAATACTGGCTGTTTCCCATAATTTGGCTCGAAATTATAGCCTAACCTGCATATGATGTAGTTCCTGTAAGTTAAAGAATTTTAAAAATTAGTTCAGCAGTGCCGAAACCTACAAAATGTTCATATATTAAGTATAGACATGTAATCCAATCTACAAATAAAATGTTTGTTTTTTCATTAACAATCCGATAAAGTTCAATTCTATAATCATACAAACGATTAAGAACCTTAATTAAAGTGCGCCAACCATTCCCTGGATGAGATTAGACGGACAAGCAATCTGAAGGCAATCAGTCACTCAATTACTAGACTATACCTGTGCAGTTAGCACCTTGTTTGCATTTATAGATCAGTATTCTCTATGGCGAGTATTCTATACATGTCTCGGCTGATTTCCAAATTATTTCTTTAAGTGAAGTCACTGCAACCTTAATGATCTATTGTGACTCGCCGCAAAAATTATAGTAGCTCTTTTAGTCTGGTACCTTACCCAATCCTATGATATTCCTGAGTTTTAAAACATGTATGTCTTCTAGGCTGATAAGTGTTGATCCAGACTTATGCTTAATTTGAGGATAAATAGTAAACAGTTCAGTGCCTAATTTACTCACTGATACTAATGTAATGATCTTTTGGTGAAAGAATTTAAAATAGGCCCAGTAATTTTTGAGTTTATCCATTGTAACATAAAGGTTTACTCTTCAGAATATTAGTGTAGACATTGAAATCAACGGAAAAATAATTTAACTCGAATTAAATCAAACCAAAATTCCTAAAAACCATGTAAAATAACCATTTCACAAAAACATTAAATCAGTTCACATGAATCCATCAGTTATTACGAAAGTAGTTTGATCAAGCAAAATGTACCTAGCTGTTTAATTTTAATATCTCCCTTAATTTTAGGGACGTTGGAGGCTTTACGCGACTCCGATTGCGTTTTCTGAGGTGACTTCGTAATTTTCTTGTTTAATTGTCGCTTGGGGCTGTACCTTTTAAGATTTAGGCGCGAGGCCAGGTAATGACACGTACCGTAATTTATATTGAGGTGTTAAGTGCTATTTATTATAATGAAATTTGTTTTAAGGCTATTATATTTGTGCCAAATACTCAAAATTTTATGTAACATTATTGATGCTAAAATGAGAAGTTTTAGCAGTTATCGCAAAAAAACTTTTGAACCCCTCGAGAAGTATTTATTAGAACGTGGACGAAGCAAACTGGACTCAGCCTACTAATTTTATTCATCAAGAGTCATTAACACATAAGTTAATCATTTTGGAAATAAATAAAAAAACGACAATTTTCATTATATTCGTCTCTGGATGTCGCGATGTTCGTTCTACTGTTTACTTTTAATTAAGTATAAACAATTTTGTACAAAGTGGTACTGTGTGAACTAGAGCATTTCTAATTTAAATTTAGCTTTAGTCAGTTCTGTTTTTTCTAATCAGAGACAACACTGTCAGCGGCTTCGCCCGCTATTCCCGCTTCCTTCTGATTCATTCTTCTTCTGATACTTTCACCCATATATAGACGGGTGAAAATCTAAAAAACCTTAGCATACACTTTACGTTACGTTTTAATTGATTAGGCAACGCCTAAGGTGACTAGGAACCTAAGCAATGACTAAAGATATGACATGTGTTATTCAGTGCTTTGCGCTAGACATTTGCGAAAGCAGACAGATTACAAATGTGTTAAGATATAAAAACAATTAGCTCTGCAATTAGGCGATTCGTAAGATTAGACGTTTCCTAGTTAAGCTAAGCTTTGTCCTTGTTGAATAACAAGACGTGTAATGTTTACGTTTAGATAGGAGTGAGTGTTTTTATATCTTCCTTATGCCTTTCCAATATTCTTCAAGTGTTCCATATTGTTGTCGATTCACATAAGTCATTGGATAGAATTTTTCACAAACACGTATGTTTTTATACGTTTTCTATAGTTACTTTCACTATGGTCAAGAAATTGATGGATCATCCTCCGTTGTTCACTGGATCGGCTCGGCTTATTCATTCCGTCCCAAAAGCTTTTCAAGGCTAAAAGGTGTTGCTTTACCGTATTGTACTGTTACAGTGCCTTTTGGTGAGAAAGAAATTAATGATTTCTTTATTTTGTGACGGTATAGTAATGCTTTTATTCGACCCCGATGGATTTTTTAGCTTTACTATTCAATAGGTAGTTTTCTCTTAATAAGATACTGTATTAAGTTTGAAGAATGCTATGACCCGTCATGAAACAACAGCTCGAAGAAAAGATAATTTGGTATCAAAACCAAAATCAAGATTAGAATGATACAACCCTATTTTCCTGTATGGAGTGGAAACGTGGACAATCCTGGCTCGAGAAAGGCAGAGGATAAATGTATTTGAAAAGCGTGTTGGAGGCGAATGCTGCAAATACCTTTGACTGCGGAACGTACTAAAGCATCTTGAAGCATATGGAATAGACAAAATTAAAATTCGCCCATTCACCACATGCCAACATCACATTTTTGTATATTTTGGTCACTATCCTTTTATGTGATTCGCTTACTATTTTAAGTATAAAATATAAATAAATCCATTTTGAGTATAAAAGACTTTAAAAGATTTGACTGTGAAATATATAAAATATCAAAAAGTATATAAAAAGAGATTATCTTTTTAAAGTGATGGAAAATAATAACATTTACACATCACGCAAATCTCCTACCGTTTTTAAATTTATTGTATCAGGCGTATATGAAGACAAGAAATTCTCAGTTTTTCTTAATTTCATTCTTCATTTTTAAAGAATAATTAATTTGTGAAAATTGTCAAGATGAAGTATTACATTATAAAACTAAATATTATTATTTCAACTCACACTCTGAAAAATCTAGAAGCAAACGCTTGAAAAATGATTTTCAATTAAGGAATAATTTTCTTAAGTTTTTTTTATTTTTATTTAATTGTGTATTTTCGTTTTTTTTTCAGTTGCAACAAGCAGTTTGCATTAAATTCATTCTTCTGAATACTTAGAAAATTAAAAGTAATTTTTCATGTAAAGATAAAAAAAGTAATTAGTTTTCCAACACGAAGTTGTAACTTCAGTGTCGTAAAATATCTAACCGAATAAAGTTGCAATAAGCTATTAATTTAACAAATGGTAGGGGTATAGATATTTTCCCGCCAAATAGCGATCTGTCATTCTCCAGTGACATTCCGAAGCGCCGATGTGAGTGCGTGTTTAATTTGTAAAACGGCTGATGTAACTGCTATTTTTTTCGTCGCTTTTATTGTCGCGTACGGCACTTTGTGTACAACCTTTTTCAGGTTATTTAAACATGTATTTTATGTTTTATGAATGCATCAGCTTGTCATCCAGTGTAAGAGCTAAAAGCATGCATATATTATGCTTGAATTAATGTTATGCTATTACGCTAAGATAAATTATGCGTTATGCGTAAAAATTATGCCATATTATATTATTCCTTAAGATTTTATGCAAATAAATATAACCAGCTGTTTTTTTACATTACTATATTAGTGTCATTCGTAAAAGTAATCACATTTTGCATTTCAATAAGTGAATTTATAAAATCGCTTAACACCAAATCTGGAAAATTTCACAATCGTAAGAGAAAAACATCGAATCCACCAGAACTAATGAACTGGGATGGATTTGTAAAAAGAAAAAAAATGAGTCAAACGGCGCACAGTCTCATAATCCGGGGGCATAAATCACGCTCCGTCCGGTCCGCAACGGTCCGCATCGGTCCGAATCACCGGAGAATTAATTCAGAGACGTCAGCGACTCGATTGAGTTTACGACCAGTTTTGACAAAGTTGTAACATTTAAATATATAAAATGAAAGAATGCTTAGTTTAAATGTGAAAATTGTTATCAAAAATACTCAAACTAAGTATTACCTATATAACAGAAGGCAATAGACGACAGATAATATTTTTTCTTTGTTGTTAACTTACTGTCAAGTGGTTTCCCTTTTAATCTAGTATTTAACTGTAACTGTGTGGCATATTTATGGGATTTATCCGAAAATAGTGTTCATCTTTTTTAAGAAGAAAAGAAACCAACAATTTTTGAATACCTCTTTGGTACAATCGACAATTACATTTCATGTTGATTTAATTTGGGAGATTTCTGTAATTTTCACTGCCTGTTGCACAAAATTTAGATAAGGTTATAGCAACATTACTGATAAAAAATTTCAAATGTAGAACATAGATCGGTTTAAACTTAGTAGACATACTCATTTGCATTGACACCAACATGGAATGAAAGTATTACATACTGAAGTTTTTCAACTGACGTGGGGCGATTTTCGATTTTGATAAGAAACTAACTAGAATTATATACATTTATACCAGTATCAATTGATTTAACCCTTACCTGATGGCCATACTCTTTGCTTTCAGGTGGTGCCATCGTTGGTTCATCTCGTCCAGTCTTCTTTGCAGCATGACCGCGTCCTCCTGCGAGGACAACGAGCCCAGCAGTCTACGGCCGGTGCCAGTGAGGGATGCGTACACATCTCTATGAGTTTCGATCTCCGATTGTAGGTCCTGGAACAAAAGTAAATAATTACGTTAAAAACTTATTGAATTTGAATTTTATTTTAACCTTTTTTTAATGTAACTATAGGTGAATTTATTATGCATTTGATATCTAACAGAAGTGTCTTTGTCAAAGCCAAAAAGATTTTGTTCTCAAGAGGGCGCACTATTCAATATCACATTCCCAGAGGACGAACAAGATGCTTCTATCAATATCTTAATTATCAGATTATAATAAGTAGTTTTAAATCAGTATGGTTCAGATTAACTTCAATAGTAGTCAGTTAATACTTTGTCTGCGTCATCATTAATATTGCGTATATTATACCCAAATTATAGATATATAATTAAAGTGCAACAGTGATGATACAACATGGATAGAATCCGACGACACCAGTTCACTTCCAAACAATTTACTTCGCAAACGAGCTTGCTCCTGTAATTTAGATCATTATTTCGACAATTGTTTAAGAACTCAAATAGCAGCCGTGTTTCAAGTTTCAGCATCGAAATCGTTACCATGAGTGCACTTGTAAAAGCTCTGATTCCGTTAACCTTTTATTTCTTTAAATTCTACATTTGTACTCGTATTATTTTCAAAATTTTATTTCTTGAAATCTTAGCTTGCTCCGATTAAGAAGACGCAATTCTTGATTTGACTGTGTCTGTTTTTGTTACTTTATTGATTTCTTTTATTCGGGATAACAGTTTTAGTCTACGTTTTTTATGTCTAGGCTATCACATATAATCATTGGTTTATAGTCTTGTAGGTGTATCTAAATTTTCTCTATTTTGTTTAGATTTAGGCCAAAATTTATTCCTTTTAATTTCCAGAACAGCATTCCTAATTCCATTGTATTTTCGTTCCAACAGTTTCCGCAAAGTTGTGATACTAGGTATATAATTTTACTTTCAGTATATTTCTCTATTCGGAGTTTCATGATTCAGTAACTTTCAATAGCAAAAACGTCTCGAGCGCTCCGCGAAAGTGGTCGATTTGTTAGCATCCCGGACTGCGTGACAAACCTGCAGGATTCCGGTGGGGACGTGACAGTCAGTCACAGGAGCCTTTCGGATGGAATGAAAAAAGGGGGGACTTTTCATGTCACTCCTTTTTTTCTAGGGCTGATATTTAGTTCCTCCGAAATGTATGTTTAAGATATTTTATATTCGTTGATTCTAACAGCTAAACGATGCATTTAGTACTAGTTTGCGATTGTGGAGGTAAAGCAACATTCGAAAGGGCCGGTTATCGGATGAGTGATGAATTTTCTATTTAGAGCTCTACTGTATTTTGTAATTCACTATTGATTCTGGTTAAATTTGTTGCGGATGATGAGAATTTTATTACCTGACTACGGCGAAGCTAAAAGGAGGGTTATGATTTCTGGCCGGTATGTATATATGTAAGAATGTTCATCTTTTCCCTTATAACTTCGAAACTACTTATCGTAACTGAACAAATGATGCCGCATGCTATAGGTTATGTGACGTTACATTAAATTGGCAACAGCGTATAAAGTAAGAAACTAAAGAATATATATTATTCAATCATTCCGTGTAGTGTACTAAATGAAAGGGTTTTATTGATAGCTATGTATATATTGCATATATAACTAACCTGAACTTTAATTAATTGAAAAAATACGAGTAAGTTCGAAAAACTAAGACAACTAAATCACGCTCTAAAAAGTTTGAACAAGAAATTTATTTTATAGCGATAGCAATATTATAATAGCGGTAACCAAAGGACAGCTTAGTCGTATGCCATAACAGTTGAATTGAATTCGTTAGATTTTCGCAACAGACTAAATTTAATTTTTTTAATCCACAGAACCAACAGACAAATCCATAGATAACAGTTTTAAGACTTTTGATACATATACCAATATCAATCCATAGATAACAGTTTTAAGGCTTTTGATACACATACCAACACCCTCACTTATCAAAATAAACTAAATATATTACAGAATATTACTCACAATACCAAGTAACATCATAAACTTATAGTGTTTTAAGGGACACAAACCCTTAGTGAATATGTCGGCAGGCATATCCTGACTAGATACATATTTAAGTTTAACAATATTGTTCTTAACAACATCACGGATATAATGACAACGAACATCTATATGTTTTGATCTGTTATGACTTTGACTACTTAAAGCTAACCGTAATGCGCTTTGGTTATCACAATTTAAATCTATAACATAAAATGTACCAATAAGTTCGTGTATTAAATTTCTTAAGTACACTGCTTCTCTAGAAGCTTCAGACAAAGCGGTGTACTCTGCCTCTGTGCTTGAAAGCGATACAGTTTTCTGTTTTCTGCTTTGCCAAGAAATAACACACCCTGACATTAAAAAGCAAAACCCAGTATACGATTTCCTATCTATGGCATCACTAGCCCAATCACTATCAACAAAACCTTTTAAATCACAATTACTATCATTGTATCTTAAACAATAATTTTTAGTACCCTGTAAATATCTCAAAATACGTTTAGCAAAGTTCCAATGAATATAACTATAACATGTGTTAAATTGACTCAGATAGCTGACAGAATAAGCAATGTCTGGTCTTGTGAGTACTGCTAAGTACATTAGACTTCCTATCAATGCTTGGTAAGGTACATCTGGTAAATTCTTATCAGAAGACTTATCTAAGTTCAATTTAGGCTCAATTGGAGTACTTTGTGTTTTACAATCAGACAAACGAAATCTAGAAATTAACTGCTCAATATATTGTTGTTGATCCACAGTAATAACATTTTTATTTTTATCTAAATTTATCCTCATGCCTAGATATTTTCTAACAGGTCCTAGGTCTTTCAATTTAAATACTGAACCTAATACATTCTTCAATTTATTTGTTTCAGTGTCACAGTTTGAAAATATCAGAAAATCGTCTACATATAATGCCACAACAATCTTAACTTTACCCTTAGTTTTTGTAAACAAACATGGTTCATACAGACTGTTTTTAAAATTTAATTTACATAAAAGGTCTTTTACTCTGTCATACCATGCTAGAGAAGATTGTTTTAGGCCATAAATTGCCTTTTTTAATTTTAATACCTTTCCCTCACTTTTGTTTACAAAACCTTCAGGTAATGACATGTAGATATTTTCTTTCAAAAAACCATTTAAAAATGCAGTTGTTACATCTAAATGTGTGATACTCATTTTTAATTTAACACTAAGAGCAAATAACAATCTGAGTGTAGAATGACGCACTACTGGCGAAAATGTGTCTGTGTAGTCCACACCAAACTTCTGCGAGAAACCTTTCGCCACAAGTCTTGCTCGGAATCGCACATTATTGTCCACATCAAACTTTTTATTAAGTACCCACCTACACTTCACTATGGTAGCATCACCTGGATTGTCTACAAGCTCCCATGCTTCATTCTGCTCGAATGATTGCAACTCATCAGCCATGGCACGCCTCCACTGGTCCCTCTCAGGCCCCACAAGAGCCTCTGCAAATGGAATTTCACCCTCTGCAAATGGAGTTTCGCTCTCTGCACCTGGAACACTACTGAATACCTGTGCTATGTTGCTGAAGCCATACCGATCAGGTGGCCTTCTCTGACGCTTGTCACTACTATTTGTCATTTGCTGTTCTGACTGAATAGTACATTTTTGAACATCTCTTGGTGAACTTTCAGTCAATATTACATCAGCGTCTGTATCTGAGGTAGCTGAAGAGTAATTTAGGTCCTCAATTTCAGGAATATTCTGATGCTGTTCCCTCACTGAAACAGCACTCTCCTCCTCCAGACAATCTGCCGGTGTCTCATTGGAAATCCAGATAGCTGATGACTCACCACTGGTTTCACTTACATCTGGTTCATCCTCCATTACTATCACATCTCTGCTTATGATAACTGTATTCTTGGAAGGATCATAGACTCTGTAACCTTTGACATCCTCACCATATCCAAGTAAAATGTGCTGCGTGGCCTTCTTGTCCCATTTCAATCGTCGCTCTTTAGGGACATGCACCATGACTTTGCTTCCAAATAAGCGTAGATGACTCAAATCTGGTTTTGAGCCATGCCATAATTCAAATGGTGTTTTATTCAAACCTGATGCAATACATCTGTTCTTTAAATACACAGCAGTATTAGCTGCCTCAGCCCAAAATGACTTGTCCAATTTAGCATCATATAGTAAACATTTTGCCTTCTCAACTACTGTGCGATTAGCTCTTTCGCAAAGTCCATTTTGTTCTGGTGTATAACTGTTGGATTTTTGATGTATTATACCAGCCTGTTTCAAGTAGTTCTCAAACTCCTTATTGCAAAATTCGAGTCCATTATCCGTCCTCAAAATCTTTATTTTCTTGTTTAATTGATTTTCAACAACTAATTTAAATTCTTTAAACCTGCTGAAAGCTTCACTTTTTTTCTTCAGAAAATAAATAAAAGTCATTCGACTATAATCATCAACGAATAATAAAAAATATCTAGCTCCATTCAATGAACTTGTCTCCATTGGACCACATAAGTCACTGTGAATTTTGTGTAATGTTTCAGTCCTGCGTCACCCACATGAGAAAAAGGTAGTCTCCCTTGCTTACCCTCACAACAGGTCATGCATCGAGATTTGGTTATGTCAAATGAGCCACTGTAAGACAAACCATCCACAATATCATTATTCCTCATCTTGTTCATATCTTGACTGTTCATATGTGCCAGTCTTCTATGCCATAACTTTCCACTAACCTCTGGTGTTGTAAACAAACAAGTTTCTGATTTTAACCTCAACTTGTAAACGCCATCTGATAAATCTGCGGTAGCAACCAAATCATTGTTTTTGTTTCTTATGTAGCAGTGTTTTTCATCAAATACAACACTATTTTTCTTTTTTATTAGTTCACTTACTGATAATAAATTGGTTGTCAAGCTAGGCACGCAAAGCACATTTGTCACAGTTATCTCACAGTCTAATTCTGAAACTATTTCTACATCTCCAGAGCAAACCACGGGCACTTTACAGTCA